TTTTGGTTTTGAGTTGGTATTGGTGATGAAGGAATAATGGTAGATTCAATGGACGTTGTTTGAATTGATAACAATGATGTATTATCATTTGAATTTGAAGATGATGTATAAATCTGTATAGACTCAAGATGTTCTATTGACGCTGTACCTTCTTTCATTTCTATAAATCGTAAAAATAACGAAAATAATGAGAAATGCCTTCTATTATGTATATACAGTATATATAATATAATAACATATGTGCCGTAATGATTGGTAAGCACTTCTCTATAACACAAATCCGCCAACCTTCTTAAATGTCATTTTAATTCGTCAATTCGCCATTTCAAAGAAAAAATCAATTATTTTTTACATTTAGTAAATAAAATCAATCAAATGATTTTTTTTTTGAGAAAGTAGCATATAGGAACGAGTGTAATCCGGATTTACCATCTTTAAGATGATTTAAAAACGGACGATGAAAAAATATTACCCGTTTAATTTGACTATTTTTTATTTTAATATTGAAAGAATAGATTATCGTGGAATATTAAATATCTTGCATACTAATAATACTTTTGGTTTCACTAATATAAATATAAATAAATTACAAAAACGAACTTTAATATTATTATTATCTGCTATAATAAACAGTTAATTTGTGAACGTCATACATGGTTATGATGGCGAAATTAAATCAAAATTTTCGAAATCGAGATACCTTTTAGTATTAGTATTGGCGAAAATCGAACTAAAGTTAAAATCAAAACTGTGACTCTAAACTCTTTTGCACTCCATAAACAGTTTCCACATCAATACTAAGCCCTAAACTAGCTTCGGGCCACATCATTGGCTGAAATCAAAATTGAAAATTGAAATTGTTTGTAATTTATTCGGCATAGCAAATAATAATACAATAATGTTACTCGAAATCGATAAAAAGGGACTGAGAGACACCAAAATTGTCAATAGTGCAAATTGTAAGTATAAAGTTTTGTGATATTTCGAAATTTTGAGACGATCTTTGAATTTGAAATCGAAATGTTTTTAAGATCGAATGGTTTTATTGCAAAAACAATTAATAGTAGTGAATATGACAACCGCCCTATAAAACGTTAAATATAAAACGTACTCCTAAATAGAAATGTAGGGATCTTAAATTTGCATTTAATATTAAAAAAATAAGGATGTATGCAAATTTCATAACTCATATAAATATTTTTGTTTACATGTTTTTCACTAAGAAAAAACCAAATAAATTTAAAGAAAAATAAAAAGTAAATAATAAATTTATTTATGATTCAACAACACAAACTATTACTACTTGAGACAACTGCTTGAAGAAACATGACTTTTGAAGATTAAAACGTACTCCTAAATAGAAATGTAGGGATCTTAAATTTGCATTTAATATTAAAAAAATAAGGATGTATGCAAATTTCATAACTCATATAAATATTTTTGTTTACATGTTTTTCACTAAGAAAAAACCAAATAAATTTAAAGAAAAATAAAAAGTAAAGAGAATGAGAAACATTATAGATCTTTTATTTTGTATTTATATAGAAAAATAAAACATTGAATAATTAAATAGAAAATGCATTTGTTTAATCATTTAA